TTGCCAAGCGACGAAAACCCAATCCCGATGGCAAACACCGGGGGGGGCGGCTTGTTTTACAACGTCGTTGCCAAGCGACGAAAACCCAACCCCGATGGCAAACACCGGGGGGGGGGGACGGGCATAACGTGCGGCACCCTGAGTCCGTCGAGCTCCGGCTCACGGGAACCACCCGCTCCACGTTGGAAGGAGAAAACACGGTATTTTCTGGACACACTTTCGAGGTCGACCAAAGGGGGTGAAGCATTTTGCAGAGGTCACGGAGCTGGAGTGGTCCATTTCGCCCCCCGACTCCCGTCCTCATCAAGCGATTCCTCCAGGAGCTACACTCCGATGCACCCGAACTCTCTCAATAACTGTTCGTCTGCGCAAAGACAAACTCGCGAGGTCGAACTCACAGTCAACGTCGTACAACCATTACAAACAACCCTCACAGACGCCAAAGGAGCGCAAGCCCGCGATAATCTTATCACATCACAGCCGATAGACTAATGCCCGAGGACGACCAGGCTACATCGTGTTGAGCCACAACAACACCCCAAGCGACTCGAACAGACGGACGACGCAACCTGACATTGTCATGGTGCCCTTCCTCCGCCGTCGTGCTCGTTGCCCGACGTGCTGGCACCCATCACGAGTCAAGTCGAACTCCCTTCACGCTCGAAGAAAGTTAGGAACGAATTTGTGAGGGCGGCTGCGCGGCCGGCTTGTTGATCATACCACGTATTGTGGCTGCCGTGCCCACGATATAGCCTGATGTAAAAGCAGCATGAAAGTCATTGTATGAAGTGGGAGGTGCAAAGCGGCATGTATACCAATTCAAGTGTGAGAGCGTTACAAAGTATTCAAGCGTGCAGAGTCTAGCCTACATTTGTTGTAGTTTTTAGGCCGTTTCCGCCCATTTCAGTCCACAACAACCGCACCACATATTTTCACAATTGCGTAACAGCAGTAGTCTAGAGCGAATCGGTGTGTGCGAGAGAGGCACGCGGCTGTCGCCATCAGAGATCGCAGCAAGCTGTGCTCTCAGAGGGGTTGGACTTATGACACACCATGTCGTGGATGCTGCTATAGTATGTACTTCGCATGAGGTAGACGATACAGAGACCAGATGCCGAGACCCACTGCAAGTCTTACGGTACGCTGTAGACTCGACTGCTGCTGGCTGCTGGCGAGGAAACGGTACATGGTCTTGCGGCCGTTGAATCTCCCGGCCTACTCCCCGAAATCCAGGGAACTGCGTCCGTGAGGAGTTTACCTTCTTGTCTGTCTTTAACCGGCCCTGGTGAACTGCTGTTGATTGGTGTGCGATGTGTTTCAGTAGCACACCAACTTGTTTTTGAACTTGACACATGAAACGCATGAGTGGACGTCACGGTTTTTTTTTTCGACCGGTGGGGGCTCCGTGGAGACACGCGCAGGCTGCTGTACCCTCGCATCCCCTGACGTACGTACACATGTGCATATGTACCTGTACCAGAGCACACTCCAGACACCGCACGCCGGTTCAACGCACACACAGACAGCTTTGAGTCGTTATCGAGCAAGAGAGGGGACAGGGAGTGAGTGCCCACCAAGATTCAGGCACGACAAGCGGACCTATGTCTGCAGCGAGAAAGGGAGAGCGTAACACGAACAGAGTGTTGAAGCACCCCGCACGTGTGTCGGCAGCACTGCAGTGCCAAAGATTGTTTTGGTCAACCTACCAGCGCTAGCAGCCGGGGACTCGCCTTGGGGTGGCACGTGTGTGACGGACTGCTGTTACGTCTGAGGCGGCATGTTGACCTCACTGTTGAGCAGGTGAGAGAGGTCGAGGATGAGAATGTGCATGCGATAGCCCTTGCTTGCAGTTCGAGGTACACCTGCGGTGCGGGTATTTTGTGTGTCTTCCCAAGTATGCTTCAGTAATGTAACGTGAGACACCGCCATGTCCGCGCGGCTGCAAATTACTCTGTGCGATCATCACTGCCGCTGCCACCGCCGCAAAGCTGTCAACATGCCGATGCACGGGGCTTGCCTTTTGTCTGTACCTCGTACGTACCAGGATTTGGTGCCAAGCACGCGGCACAAGTATTCGGAGTTTTAGGCAATCAATTGCACATAGGGTTCAAATTCGTTTGGTGGAGCCAGTGTGTGGGTTGGACGTTAGAACTCGGTTTTTTTCTTCGAACACGCGCAAGCATGTACCTCAAACATGGTGGAAAGCACATTGCTCGTGAGTGCGCTCGAGAGACCTGAACCCTTCTCGCGTGGCAAATTTGAGGAAAGTACCGGGCAGAGGAGTTATATGTATGACCCAGGATCGCAGCTTTGACGGGATCGGTCATGCTGTGCATCGGTTCGGCACGAACACTTGCCTCGAATACCGCCGTGCCGCCGTGCTCAAGCGGGCGAAAAACCGGCTCTACCAGTCCATCTCTCGTGCCTACTGCTAGTTCCGGGTATTAGACCAAAGCAGCCGGTACGAAAACAATAGCCGAGTGTTGAGGATTTTGTGTAGTCTATGGAAGTACCTCCCGTCGGTACAATCCCGTCGTGGACGTCCATCGGTCGTGTTTCGAGCCCAAGCGACAAGTCGAAAGACGTACGTTCGCTATCGTGCTGCTGCGGTGGCTGGGGGAACACACCTTGTTCTCTGTGGAAGGTTCGAAGCGTGTTAACACCGTTTATCAGTATTATGGGAAACTTTTGTGATGCCAAGTCGCGCACAGATGTATGTATTCGCCGGCAGTAACGTGGCGGGGAGCCTCAATCGCGGCCCTGCGGGGCCGCCTGGGTCTGTGCCAGCCACTCCACGGAACGGGGCGGGGCGGTGGTCGCGGCTTCTTTTTCGAAACCACGGCTTAGCCGCGTCACTAATCTACTGAAAGGATGGAGTCGACTGCATGGCTCCGCCAGTATCCAAAGCCCTCCTTGTGAATCACCCTCTGTCTAGGCAGAAGCACGGCGCTCCTGTTGCTACGTACCTGATGAAATTCTCCTTCCCAGACCACCACCCCCCACCCCCCCATCCCGCACTCTACGGGGTGCGACGCGACCATGTGTACGGTAACGTAACAACAGCGACTTCGACCCCAGCGGCTTCGACGTCGGCGATAACACCTGGGCATGGCTCCTGCCGGTCTTCGCGAAGAAGGAAGCCCCTCGGCCCGAAAAGGCCTCGTCATCAACAGGGACGCCAACGACGGCCCCGTCGCCGAGACCACCCCCCCTCACGCTGTCGATCTCGACACCGTGGATGTGGCTGTCCACGCCTATCGATGGCGCCGGCGGCGGCGGCTTCGATCTCGCCATGGGCGCGACAAGCCCGGCGGCGATACCAACCGTAACACCAAGAACGTCACCAACAACAACATCATCATCAATACCGCTTGTGGCCGACTCCAACGAAATGGAAGCTTCTCTGTCGTCGAGACTTTCCAGCTTTTGGGGGTTGGGAGCGGCGAAGGGCAGGGATGCCGTGCTGCAGGACGACGCTTGGGCGGAGGCCGAGTTAGCCGAGCTTGAGGTGAGAAGCTGGAAAATCGCGCCGTCGCAGTGATCTGCGGAAGGGAAACCCGTTCATGCACCTTTTTTTTTACCCCTTTTTCTGTTCTCGGGACGTCTATTGCGTTCATGCATTCCTGTCGTTGACTGTTACCTTTCTTGTACGGTGCAATCAGGCCCCATGCCGTGGGTGGCCGAACCCGGCGCACTTCATCTGTCGACCTTGGTCGAAGAAACTCAAGTGACAAGAATGCTGCAGCACTCCTAAGCCATCAGACTTCACTTGTCAACCCTCCCCCTCCTTGCCGATGAAGACAGCATGAATCACACCTCCTTGATTTGTGGCGTGCTCTGGTTTCCGTCTTTGCCCTTCTCCGTTTGCTATGCTGTGCTCTGCTGTGCGGTGTGTCGCGCTTCGCTGTGGTGCGCTGTGCTTGGCTTTGCTGGGCTCTGCTGTGCGGTGTTTCGTGCTTCACTGTACTTCCCCGTCGCCGGACCGCATCTCCTCCCCTTCACTCTCCCAGATTCTCGCCGAGGCGCTCGGGAACCCTTCGCCCGTCCCCCCAACAGCCCGAGCCTCCTCCCACACGGCTACCCCTGCTTCAATTGCTAATACCATCGCTGGACTTTCCAATGGCTTAGGGAACAGCGACGACGACGACGAAAGCGGCGGCAGGGTGGTCCAGCTGGACATACCGGCGGTTCAGGCCCTGCAACGCGCCCTCCAAAGGGGCGGGTTCCTAACGCGAGGCAGCCAGGGCCTCTCCGTAGATTCTCCGTACGCCTTCTCCGAAGGCGGGGCTGGGGTGGGCGGGAGGCGGCCTCAACGGCAGAGCAGCGGGCGGTCCTCTCTCTCCGTCGAAGGGGGCACCGGAGCCGGGGGTGGGTACTACTCGTACGCTCCGGGAGGGGGCGTGATGGCGTACTTCGACGACGGCGTCGACGACGACGGTCGGCAGCGACGCTCTCGCCTGCTGCTCCCGGCGCCCCCCGTGGGGCGGCACGAGGCCGCCCTGGTGTGGAAGCTGTTCCGGCTTGCGAGGGACGCCACCGCGCTTCGGGTCCACAGGTGTTCAAAGACTTTTTTTGTGTTTAGTGGAGGCGTCCTCCCTGGGCAGCAGGCTAATAGAAGCGCGTCAGTTTCGGTGTGGTGAAGAAGGGGAAACACTTCTCTGAAGGCCATGGTCCGGGGGCCCGTCAGGGGGAGTCTGGGCTATTCGCCGGGTTGAAAGCAGACACGATAGGAGATGAAGAGAAATGCATGTGTATACCAAAGTTTCTGCGTTTCTACTCGTTTTTTTTGTTTTGTTTTGTGTGTTTGTGGCGGAGCGATCGACGGCGTAGGAGGGTGAAGGAACTCGGGGTGGATGCGGTAGCACTGTCCAAACCGCTTTGTTTCTGAACAGGCTGAAGCTCGGTAGGGCGTGCTGCTGCTGTGACGGGGTCGTGGAGGCGCTTTTGTGGTCTCGGTCCTCTACGATAACTCTCGCTTCGCTCTTCTTTTTGGCACGCTACATGTAGGGTCCGCTTCTGTGTTGCATGTAGCCGCAGAAGAATGATCATTCCAGTTCGGTGCCGAAGAACGCTACGTTATACACTCCGAATGACAACTTCACCCTACCACACGCTCCGACTTGCTCGTTGGTCGCGATAAGATGCACCGTGATCGTTCCCTCGGACGTCTCCCATAGATATTCTCTTGAAAAGGTGACAGTGATGTTTTGGACTCTCCGCTGTGACATTCGAGGTTTTACTGGACGTCTTCCGACGTTTTGCTACGTGGCGATCGAGGCTGGGAGTTAGGGTTATTATCCCTGTGTTGCCCTAGATGACCGCCCCCAACACTTTTGACTGAATTTTGTCCAGCGCGCATTTTGCAGTTCTATCCAGTTGGCCAATATCGTGCTGTTGAAGGGTACGGCCGATCAGAGTGGAGCTTGCTTGTGACGCGATGATTGGCTCTACCCTCTTTCCCTGCTGCCCTCCTATCTTGCTTGCTTTTATCGCGACTTGTTTGCGCACGGCAGGGGCACATATCGGCGCGCCTCCAACTGGGGGCAGCCGGTGGAGTTGCAGATGTTCCCAGCGTTGCAAGAATTGCGTCTGGAGGCGGTTCCGCTGGAGCACGTCGAAGGTGAAGCAGAATGGACTCCGGCGTGTTTGGCCAACGTGGCTTCGGTCACAGTTCGTGATGGCTCGACCAGAGAGTGTGGCAGTTTGACGTTCCATCAGAGGGGCGCGGAGACATCAAGCTATAGACAAGTTGGTGTTGAACGTGGTGCTAGTACCAGCGAGAGGGCCGGTGTCTGCGTGTGTTCACGAGAGGAGTTTGGGGGAGGGGCGAGAGAGATGTGTCTGTTGACTACGGGCTGTTGCGTCTCTGTGTTCGCCACCCAGGTGTCATGTTGTGATGAAGAAATGAAAGATGTTTCGCCGTGGGGAGCGGCAATGACTTGAGACAGACGGTTTTGCTTGCACATGCCAGTCCTCTTTTTGTAGCTGTATTTTCCTCTGTGTTACCCCAGTGAACACTCGCGCGCACACACACACGCCTTGCCGGCCCAATCCTTTTCCCGACATCAGGCCTGTTCGCGCTTCGCCTGCAGCTCAAGTCCCTCACCTTCGAGAACGCCTTGTTGCCAAGTCTCCATGCGCTGCTGACACCCCCGAAGCCAGCTTCAGGCTCTCAGGATACAGCAGGGGGGGAGAGGGGGCATGTAGCTGCGGATACGGCAGCGGATGGGGGGGTGCATGGTCCTTCCAGAGCCGACCCGGGTGGCGATGTAAACAAGCGAGATGGCTCAGACTCCGCCCCTGTTGGTGTCCGTACTGCGGACGGCGATAGATATCGGCTTTCTTGTAAACGTGGTAAGATACAGCAAGTTCGTGCGCTTGGTGGCGTCGCGAGCTCGAGAAAAGCGTTGGGTGTGTCTCGTCCCGCGAAACCTTTGCCTGGGTCCGGCGGCGTTCAGCAGGGCGAGTCCGAACGGCCTGGGATGGGCCGGCTGCAATCGGGGCTCGGGATGGGCACGCCGATGCTGCACTGGTCGCTCCTCGAGTCGTTGAGGTATGCGGGGGCTGGTGTGCGTACTCCATTCTTTTGTGGTTGGCGCCTTATTTTTGTCTTTTGTCGCCTCTTGTCGCAAGGGAGGTTGTGGACTGCATTAGGGAGCCTGTCGAGAGTGCGTTGCTTGCTCGTCACTGGTACACTTGTGCACGTTACCGGCCCCGCCCACTTCCTCCTAGACCAACCAGCCGGCGTCGCCGCGGCTGCTTCTCTTCCAAACTGGAAAAAGGTGCCCCAGTTCTTGGACTGTGCGCGTTGCTCTCCCTTCCCGTCCTGGAACAGACTGGCTGCTCTTGTTTCGCGAAAATCGAACCCCAATTGTGTTGATGTTGTCTCCATCACTTGCGTCTTTCTTTGTGCCCTCTGGGTGTTGTCACCGCAGCGTCTGCAAGTGCGGGCTCCGTGAGCTGGACTCTTCGCTGCGCCTGCTTCCTAGGGTGCGGCGGTTGTCTCTGGCGAACAACCGGTTCTCCCGGGTGGATTTCTTCCAAGACTGTGGCTCGCTGGAGGTGCTAGACCTGAGCCACAACCGCTTGAAGTGAGTGGGTCACGATGGCACCGCGGCTGCAGACGCGTTGGCTACGTGACGAAGCACTTTCTTGACCTCCCCTCTCTCTCCTGTGGATTTGTTTAGTTTTCGGACAGTCGATGCGTTTTGCTGCGTCGCGAGACTGCAGTTCTCGTTTGCCAGAAGGATGATATGTGTGTTGTCGTGCAGACCATGTGCTTGATTGGGTGCATCCATTCCTTCCTTGTTGTAAGGAGGAGATACAAGGCATTTCACCTCTCTGTGCAGACTGGCGCTGTTTCCGTTGCCATTCCAACAGAACCACTATCAACCGTCGTAACCATCTCGTTTTCTGTCCAGCGGGTGCCGACTCTACTCGTACACACCGAAGATGATCTATTTAGCGTAGTCACCCGTTACCCCTCCTTACGACCCCCGCCCGCCGACAAATTGCCGGCATCCGCACATGCACACCGCGCACACCAAACACGCAGCTCGGTCGAGAACATCCACGCGGTCTTGGGGAACCTCCGCTCGCTCAAGCTGCGGGGCAACCTCATCGAGAGAACGAATGGCCTCGAGAAGCTGTTCTCCCTCGAGGACGTGAACTTGTCCGACAACAGGATAGAAGACCTGAAGGAGGCGGCGCGATTGTCGACGCTTCCGATGTTGCGCCGCGTCTGGCTGAATGGAAACCCCGTGGAAGCGGAGTGAGTGCCTGGATTGGGTAGGATGAGGCGTACATATGTGATGTGGATGTGGCTGAGGATGTAGAGATTGGGTGTCAAGCACGACCGTGTTAAATCGTGTGTACAGTATTGATTGTGTTGATCTCTTGTTGTAATTCACAAGTGTTGTTGATGTTCGGTAACGTGTTCCGATTGTCCGCCACGCGACGTGGTGTTCACCGTTGTTATTGTGTCCATCGCGCTACCCAAAGCGGCATGCCAGCACTGACCCTACACGCGTCGCCCTCCATGCTCCCGTTGTCAGGGAGGGGAAGGACTACCGCGTGTCTGTGCTCAGCCTCTTGTACCAAGGGCGGGGTGGTGAGCTGAAGGGGGTTGCGGGGAGGTTTTCCACTATGCTTGCAGGCGGCTCGGGAGATGGCTCGAGGCGTGAGACAGGGATAGCTTTGGACGGACGGCTGCCGTCGAGGAAGGAGCTGGTGCAGCTGTCGCAGCTTTGCTTCCCTAGAGCGGCGGAGGTGAGAATAGTTGGCGGCGCTCTCGTGTCTTTGAACCGTGGTTCTTGTTTTGTGTTTTCATGGGTTGTTCACCGCCTGCTGGTCGATTTCGTCGAGTGTTCGTAGCACCGGTGGAGTGGGAGATTTGTTCATGGCTTCATTTGTAGTCGCTGCTGCTGTTGCTGCCACTGCTGCTGCTGTTGCCTCTACTGCTGCTGCTGCTGTGGCTTTCTTGGGCGGTCGTTGCGCGATGGCTGCGCTGATGTGAGTGGTTGGGGATTTTTGCTGGCGTGGAACCGGTCGTCCCGGCGGTTTAGTGGTATCATCGCAACCCGCTAGTTGCAAAGGTTATGCCTTCGAATCCCCATGGGGGTGAAAACTTTAGATGGGAGTGAAAGCGAAATATAGCTGAAAAAACTCTCACGAGTACCAATCTTCGACGTGAGCACCGTTGACGAGGGAAAGGGACGGCTGGACCCTTCTCACGATAAAAATGCAATTCAGTACGCACCTCAGGAAGAAGGTGGGCCACGAATTATACAACGTGAAGAAATATAGCCCTGGTATTCACCCCCTCCTATGTGACCCTGGACGTTTGTAGTTGTACGAAAAAGTACACTGAAAAGTATAGTACTCTACATGCACTGAAGAGTGTAGTACACGTCTCACCACGAAAAATGGGCTGACTATCGCCGTAAAAAATAGGACGAAAACATCAGCGCAACAGTCCTGTTCTATGCCGTAACTGTCAAGGATAAGTTTTTCCTTGCCATGACCCCCCCTTCGCCCCTTCCCCACTCGCAGGTGCCCTTCCCAACCGCTACTGACAGCGCCCTTCCGTCCAGCGATGAACACGGAGCATCTCGGGACGGCTTGCCATCCCGTCGGCACGCCCCCGGCAGCGTCGTCGCCGCGCGCGGACGAGCAGAGGGAACGGGGAAAAGAAGACCGTCCGCCACCGCCGCCCAATCAGCTGTCGGCAGTTCCGCAACCTCTGCTTCTCGACCTGCGCCTGACCCTTCGCCGTCTTCGTCTCCGTCGTCGCGAAAAAGGCTCAGCGTCTCCCCGCCCGCCTCCCGCCTGCCCCCTCCGTCTCCCTGCGTGACGCTGCGGCTGCCTGCGGTGCAACGGCGGCGACACCCGGCGAGACGGCATAGTAGTGGGGTCCCCGCCGTCGGGATACGGGGACAGGACCCCGAAGATCAGCAGGCGCGACGGCGACGACGGTCCGGTACTCGCTCGGCGATGATTGAGGAGGCGGCGCCTGCCCGNCCGACGGGGGGGGTGGGGGGGGGCGGCGGGTGGCGCTGGGGACAACGGGACGGTGAGCCTCGGCACGGCGTCGTGGTCGGCGGCGGCGGCCGCGGAGGCGGCGGAATTGTCGTCGTCGTTGTCGGCGCTCTCGCTGGGCCTGGGCACGCTGCCGTTGCAATCGGAAGGGGTGAGACAGATGGTCGACTCTCATGTGGATGGCTTGCTTTCGTTCGTCGATGTACCGAACGAAATTTTGACGCTTGTGCCACTCTTCGATCGGCTTTCTTCTTGAGCGTGTATGTGTACCTCGTGGCTCCATTGCTCAACCGTAACCCTACCCCTAGGATCTCTCAAGCCCCCGCCCCCGCGAACGGTTGTCACCCTGCACGCTAAGAGCAAGTAACAGGTCCAACGACGGAGGGCACGAGAGCCAGGAACCGGTCTTGATCAGGGTCGCCGTTGGATTACTTTGCTTGCTCTGATCTAACAACTGTGTTGGCGTTCGGGTTGGGGGCGGAAGGGTGAGCGCACCAGGCCAGAAGGACGCAAGCCCGTGGCCGGAAGAAGCAGTCTGTTTCAATGTTCGAGTCAGAGGCCGTGACCTCGTCTTCCTAAGATGCGCTCGCGCCCCGGCCCCCCGCCCGCGAACGGGCGTCACCCTCCGAGAGAGAAGAGCTGGTCAAAAAATCCAACGGCGACCCGCATGAGAGTCTCATGCGGGTCGCCGTTGGATTTTTTGACCAGCTCTTCTCTCTCGGAGGGTGGCGGCCGTTCGCGGGCGGGGGGCGGGGCGGGGGCGCATCAGGCCAGAAGGACGCAGGCCCGTGTCTGGAGGACATGTCATGTTTCAGTTTTCATATCAGAGGCCCCTAGAACACAGGCCGTGGTCTCGTCTCCGTGACCGCGCCGGCAGGACCATGGAACTCCGCCGCCGCCCATCCTCGCCCGAAACATGATGACACTCTTCATCCGTGTTGTACGCGGTGATGGTGTGTTTCGTTTTTAGACTCGTGAGTCAGCCTTGAAGTTTGGCAGGTTCCACTTTGAACGATTTCCCGCCTCCGCGCCTGTGTGTGCTATTGTTTTTTTGCGTGAACTCGATGCGTTCAGGGCCAGCAGCAACCTCTTCTCCAGCCAAGGGAGACGGCGTCGACGGGGGTCGACCCGGAGGTGGTGCCGGAGGCGGTGTGCAACGACCGCAACACGACCGCAGCACAAGCCGCCGTGGAGGGTGGCGACAGCAGCGGAAACGAGCGGCGTTCTGCCGACATGGGCCGGCTCGCTGCGCGCGGGGCAGAGAGCGAGGCCGGGGGGGCGGCGGAGCTCGCGCGTGGTGATGGCGGTGTGGTTACTGCGGCGCCGGCGCCGGCGCCGGCGCCGGCTTTGCCGGAGAGGGGTGAGGGATTTGGTGAGCTGCATCTGGCGGTCGAGGACGGCGGTAGGGGCGAGCTTGCCGCCGCCGCCGCTGTCTCGCCTTCCGGTCCCGACGACTTCGATGGGCCACGCGGCGGGGAAAACGAAAGCCGGCAAGGTGGTGATGCTTCGCCTTCGTCGGCGCAAGGAGGGACGGAGGGGGGACAGTCGGCGAAGAGCAGCGGCAACGCCGGCGTCTTTTCGGTCGGTGTCAACCCCGCGTCCGGGTGGGATCTCTCGCCCGGGAGGCGGGGGAGGCCGCGCAGCGGCGGCGGCGGCGGCGGCCGGGAAGTGGCGACGTGTCGCGCCTCACCGTTCTTCCCGTCCCCTTCCCCATTGCCGTCGCCTTCGCGATCGCCTTCGCGTTTGCTTGCGGCGGCGAGGCAAGAAGGCGGGATCAGACCGCCGGGGGTGGAGGGTGATGTAAACGGTGGTGGCGACGGTGGAGAACGTGGCTCTTCGGAGGCGGCACGTGACGCGGACGGCGCCGCCGCCGTCGCTGCTGTTGCTGCGGCTGCCGCTTCTGGGACGGGTGCTGCCGATCCTGTTCGGCAGGAGAAGATTCACATGGAGGGGGGCGAGGTGGGAGGAGAAGCGGAGGTAGAGGAGGGAATCGAGGAAGAAGTTGGTTGTGGCGGGGTCAACGGCGAAGTGGAGAGGGACAACAGGGGAAGCAGCTCGGTGGTGGACGAGGATGCTGGGCATGACGGTGGCTATCGCGGGGATGAAGCTTACGCGGAGCTTCTGGTGGCGGAGCACCTGGAGCTGTACTTCCGACAACAGGTATATGCCAAAAGAGCACGACATCGTAAGAAAGTGGTCTCCTCACCCACCTACGTGATGCGACCGGTTGCGGACGGCACTCGTTTGAGTTTCACCCGTCTGTACGTTGTTCGCTGTCTCTTGAGGAGGAAGCATGGCGGTTTACGCTCTACGAGGGATTGACCCCAACTCCCAATCGGCTCCCTTGCCTTCGCTTTCTTGCCGCATGATGCGCCGACCCCGCCTCACAAGTCGCGCCTTTTTGTCAATAAATACCGCATGCTTGAGTCATCCCGCGTAGACATGCTGTACTCTCACACGACCATACTCAACTACGACGCTCCCGTGGCTGCCCGCCGCGCTCTGTCTCTCGCCTCGTCGTGCTCCCAGGTCTTCAGCGGCGCCGCCCCTTACCTCCTTTACGACGAGGAGCGCGACGGCGGACAGCAGCCCAAAGACCTCCCCCGCGCCATGCACCGCCACCGAGAGGCGTCCAAGACCCGCCAGGAGAAGAAGCTGGTTGCCATGTTTAGGGAGACGGCGCTACCCTGCGTCCCTCTCTCTCTCCGCAACCAGCGCCACCGTCACCGCAACAAGCACCACCACCACTTTCGGGTAACCACCAAGGAAAAGAGGGCGGCGAGGTCGTGGCTACGGGCTTCCTGGACACCCTCTCCGTCCCCTACTGTTGCCGGGGGAGTCGGCGGCAGCGGTGGCGGTGGGGCGGAAGGCTTGAGCGGGTAGGCATAGGCATGCTTGAAGGTTTTGAGGGATTGAGCGGGCAGGCGTGCCTGCACTCGATCTGTTTGCGGGCATCGGCTTGCTTGTCGCTCGCCTGGTGAGGTACACATGTGAACCCCTTGCTCCTGCTGCATGTGCTATGAACTATCCGCAAAGGCTTTCCAGGATCGTATGTATGTCTCGAAGGTGTTTACTCCCTAAGCTTGTGCTTCCAGTGGTATCGGCCTTCTGACTCTTCGACAGCTTCTTTACTTTCAAAATATTTCCTTTTTTGATCGTACCGTGAACGCGTTGAAGAATGTGGCGGTTACGTAATACGTCAATGTGGCACGCATTCCGCCAAAACGGTTCTCACCCATCCATCCGGCACATCATGTCAAAAACGGTTGCTCCGACGAAGAGGAGAGCGCATTAGCACTTTAGTCACGAGTATTGTTTGTTTTCATTGCATCCTCGCACTACGCGGGCTAGCAGGACGAAGACGGATGAGAGCAGCGGCAGCTACCACGGAAGCGGTCTTGAGAGTTCGATGGAGAATGCCTTGGCAGCGACCGGGATGGTTCAGCAGGTGCACCGCAGAGGAGTGGACGGGGAGGCCGAAGGCTACACCATGGTGAGTTGACAGCTGATGAGATGTGAAATCGTGAGTTGCTGCATTTTGTGGGCGTTATTTTGTTGTGGCTAGAACACCGGTACCATGGTACTCGGCGATGGGGCGTGGAGTCCCGAGTTGCTGCATGTCGTCGTGGCTGATATTGCTGGTGGCTTTGTGGACAGTTTTCGGTCCAATTCCAAACAAAGTGGGTTGTGCATGTCGCAACCAGTAGGTGAGAAACCACCGCGCTCTTATTATCACGCCTTTTTTTCACCTTGACCGAAGCACTCGATATCCTCGCAAGCAGCTGACCCCCCAGGGGTTACCCATCTTCCCTGGGGCACCCGCCGTATACGTGCTCGCGTCCTTAGCTGTGAACCGTGCCTGCTACCCTCCGGCCGCTCGCTTGTCGTCGTCTCTTTCGGTCCCTCCACAATTTCCCGTACCGAAGGGCGAGGTGGCTTGCGTGGTCGTGGCGACGGAGTCGTCCATCTTCTTCATCGACGGGGGGTTCGCCAAGGACGGCACGCAGTTCTCGGCGGTGAGAGCACGGCGCTGCCTCACAAGGACGCGTGGGTCGTGGGATACAGACTCTGGCTCCGTACCATTTTGGCGCGCCTTTTCTGGGTTGATTGGCCTAGGTCAATTTTCGGTTTACGTTTCCTCCTGCACGTCGTGAGGGCTTGATGGTGCAAGCATCAGGTTTTATCGTTCATCAGTGCCTCTGCTGTACCGTGGTGCGCTTTTCTTTATCATGGACTTGTGTGTTCCGAGAAACCCTTGCGTGCTAGACACCTCCGGAATTTCTGAAAGCGGACACGAAGGTCATGTTGAAGGTGCGCAGCACGCCAGCGTTGGAGGTGCTGCCGACGCCTTCACACGTGTTTGTGTTCCACAGGGCGACGCATAATCAAACGATGTAGCGATGCGCGATTAGCCAACCCCGAAAACGGCAAGTGTAGCGCGGTGTTGTTGGTTGTGATGCCTCTGTTTCGTAAATCCTTTCGTCACAGTGGTGCGGTTGCCGTCACGAGGTCGACGTCAGTTCCTACGTAGGGCAATGCGCGATCCCTCGTTCTCCTCCTTCACTTCCTTGTAACCGAGACCTCGGCTCTTTCGGGGAGAAAAACAACTGGAGATCATATATCTGGTGTTGAGATGGTGCGGTGTCCAGTGCTCCGAACGGTTCATGTTGCCAAACATGGAGAACAGAATGGCTCGTGGGGCAGCGAAGGAGCGCAGAGTTGGGTTTCAATATTGGAGAACCAAGAATCAGGAAATGCTCGATCTCTTCGACGCCCGACCTTTCCAGGCTCCGCGTCCGAGGGTCTTGATGGTGCTACCGCTCGCCTGCCTCGAGAGGACGACCATCGGTTTTCGTCTTCAAAAGCTGGAGATGCACTTCGACCCTTCGTCGGTCGGCGAGGAGGAGGAAGGTTGGAGCGACGACGGTCAGCGAGATGAAACTGTGTCGGTGGCCCTGCTGACGAGGGACAAGTGAGATTCCGAGATTCCGTGGAGTTTGCGACACGTTCCCGGGATGTGCCGGTTGTTCTTGAATGTTGTTGCGGTCGTCGTCCCGACATCAAAACACGCTCGATTTGTATGCTGGTCCCAATGCTGTTCTCGTACGTGCGCTGACCTAGCTGGGAGTCCGGTTCTGTTCTGTTTTATTTCGCCGAAGAGCAGGGCATGAAACACCCCCACATACCCTGCCACCATCTTCCTATCCTTGTGTTGTTGAAGTGGTCTTCAAGCCGCCGAAAGAAGTGCTGCCATCCGCTCTCTTGCCTCTGTCCCCCTTGCAGATCCCGCACGTTTAACCTCTTGCAGACGCTGGAGCCCCTGTCGACGAAGGCGAGGCGAATGATGTCACTCCCTGCCGTGGTGGTGGAAAACCGCGACGAGGCCACGCTGGAGGTGAGCTCCAGCCCCCTCCACCGTTGAACTCATTCGTCGCTCGTCACTCGAGATTGAAATTGCTCTGGATGTTCAGCCAAGTCTTTCGTTCCCATGTGAACCGAATCGCTCCAAGCTGCACTGCTTATCTAGGCCACCGCATGTCTTCTTTATCGTAGCAACTCCTGGGTGTATCGATTCCACGAGCCCACTGCTGTTGTGTGTGAAAGTATCCTCGCGTCGTTCTGTAGTTTGGTCCGCCGCCGACTATGTGGGCCTTAGCCCGTCAACGCTCCTCCTGATTCATTGCACAACAACTTTTCGATAACCTTTGCTCTGCGACTTTCGGATGCGTCGTGTCCACGCCCCCATCCCTCCCGCCACACGGCTACCCCGCGTTCAAACTGCCTCCGCTTCAGGCTATCGCGCGAGCCCTACCCCCGAGTACCATCGCACCGGCTCGCCACTCCACAAGCCGGTCGCAGATCGATCAAGCTTCACCTCCCGCTTTCAGCCCCGCCGGAGAAACGGCGCCAGCGGGAGAGTCGGAAGCGGCCCAGCGCTCGACGAAGATCGAGCCGCACCTACCTGGCCACGAATCCGCCGGGCTCTTCGGGAGGCTCGGGAAGTGGGGCGACGACTCGGGGCCCGCCGCAACAGGCGACGAGGATGGTAGGGGTAGTGGCGTTGCGCTGGGCTCCGTGCATGGCTGCGGTGCGGTCACGGATGCCGGCAATGGCCAAGAGGGGAGGGAAGGCGACGACGACAACGGCGTAGGAGCGTGGGCGGGCGAGGGGGCCGCCAGCGCGGCGGAAACGCACGGTACCGCCTCCTGGGACTCGGTGGGTGCCCCTCCGTCGCTCTCCGGTACTGCTACTCCGCTCCTGTCTCCCACCGTTAGCAGCAGCAACGTAGTCGAGACTCCGCCTTCCGTGGGTGGTGGTCACGAAGGGACGGTGGTGGTGTTCCAGCTGCTGGTGCAGCGGTGGGAGCTGAGGCCGTGGGTTGTGGTTCCTCGCACGCTCGTCGCCACAAAGGAGAAGGTGCGTGCTTTCCTGTTGCTCTTGTCGTTGTCGGCACGTCAAGCAAGCAGTGTTGCGTTCGTTTGGCCGTTTCCTCCCAGAAAAATGGCTGGGAAAGGTTTTTGATTGAGTTTTGTTGAATCTAACTGCTTCAATTGTTATCAAGCAGACGACCCCCCCCCCCCCTTCAGGTTGCACTCCGGGCTTGTGCGCACGATGCCCGTGTTGCCCTTTTGCGTGTTTGCCATTTTATACGTTCGGTTTGTTCTCGTGAGGAGGCCGTATCCTGAGGTGCTACCCTGGGCTGACACGACGGCTTTGCCACTACGCTTCCTTGTCACTTGCAACCAATGAAATGAGTGCCAAGTAGGAACTATTGAGGCGGCAGACTTGTACCTTGTATCGGGTTCGGGAAATCAACGGAATCCCGCAGGCCCCAACAAACGAAGCAGTGGGAGAAGCTATGCACAGCTCTGCGTGTTGCGAGTATCGCTGCTCCTTCTGCTGGTCAACACGGAAAAATGCCTACGATATGCCATGGCTTCAAACACGCCTCTACTGCACCCGCGCCACCGACTGAATCGTTGCCGACAGCTGGCGCTTATGGACGAGGATCACAGCCGCGTCAGCAGCAGTAGCAGCAGTGGCAAAAACAGCAACAGCGTCTTTGGAGGCCTAGCTGGAGAAATATGCGAAGATGGGCGGAGGCTGTCGTGGACGGTCGCCGATGGTGGTGACGGTGGTGGCAGCGAGTTGAAGGAGATGTCGTGCGTAGACTCGGTGGACCTGGGAGATGTCATCGACGTGCGGCAGGAGAAATCGGCACCTGAGCAGGTAAGGAGTGGTTCTCAACGCTGAATGTTGTTCATGTCTTTCGCTCATCATTTGCATCAAAGAAGCAGCAGCAGCAGCAGCAGTAGTGGTGCTCGACCTTGCTCTGTATTTCGGTGAAAGGAAAATCGAAGTGCTTTCTTCGGCGGGAGGGAAACAATTAGTGTAGCTGCTCTCTGTTGCTGTTGCTGTTGCTGTTTTTGTTTGCAATGGTTGCTTTGCGAGGTGTGTTGTCGAACGCCATCCGTTCCTCCGAAAACAAAAAGAGTTGTGTCGTGGCGCATTCTGCTCATGTGTTGCTTCCGGCCGTCTTGAATGCAAGAAGTTGTTGTAGAGCTGCTGGCCCCCTCTCGAGATTCGTTGATGTTTTCCCGGCTTGGTTGGCATAGAAATACAACGCACATGTTGAACACACCGGCTCCGAGTGACGGTCACTCCACCGCCTAGAAATGCAACAGCTTTGAGAGTTTCGGGCCAGACCCGTATTCTCCGCTGCTCCTTCTCTGCCCCCTAATCAATAATCGAAATCCGTCCCGGTGGTTATGGTGTCCAAACTTGGACAGGTGGTTGTGGATCTGAAAGGGGAGCGTGCCTTCAACCCGCGCCGGCAGTGGCGACTGCAGTGTCGGACACGTGGAAGCGCAGAGGGGGTCGCTTCCGCGGTGCTGCGTCTTTCGCGAGAGAGAGTCCAGCAGCGGCGGCAATCCTCTTCCTGGTGGAAGCTGTGAACGCCGGGCACCCATGGCTGTCGTTCTTGGTGCCTGTCGCCGCACCGTGTTGTGAGCCATACGCCACGGAAATGTTCGTGAGACAGCGAGACTTCAAGGAAGACGATGGGGCGTGCCCAATTGCAGCAGGGTGAGCCCGATGGACAGGAAGGGCCACTCAGCGGTGATGAGTGCTGTCACTTGACGTGGAACGAAGTTCGTTGGTGGGGCGAGTATGCCTGTCACCCCCCGCTTTGCCCGTGGCTGGAGTTCGACACTTCGGGTTCATTCTGATGTTTGTGGTCCAGCGTCTGAATGTCCGTCGACGACGGCGATGTGGTGAGACGGAGAAATGTTATGGGCGATCTTGAGTGAGACTTTCCTTCCGGCAAGAGTTCCTTGACCGTAGCGGAATTCATCGCAAGGTTCGATTGGAAAGTGTTTTCAGTACATTTTGGTTGAGGTAATCCCTAGGCTGTCGTCGCTGTTGCTTGTGACACGAAGCGTTGCTAGCCTTGTAGAGTATATTTGAACGTGTGTAGAGTACCAGAGACGATTTTGTTGTGACATTCATAAGAGGAGGCCGCAGCGATGTAGATAGACGGAGGTCGCATGTTCCTCCCACGCGAAGTTTTGGTTGTTTACGGGAAACCCTTGACCAGAAAACCTTTGCTCCTCTAGTGTATTGCCTTCGATTTGGTGACGTTTATGCGAATCATCCTGACCTCAGCTAAGGCGCTGCGTTCTTGTCCCTAAGGCTGAGGGCCAGCGATGTGGCAGGAATGCTAGAGTATGTATCGCTTCATCTGTGCGGCACGTCTGCCGTGGGCCCCCTTGCCTATTTTTGTGCATGCGCATGGCAACCTGGTAAGGCGTGTGAAAGTACCATGAGGTTTCGGGCGATGGCGCAGCAGTCCGGAATTCTTGGACAGGGGTGCGACCAAAGTACGAAGAGGAACTGATTTGCAAGGGGGGCAAGACATTCACCACGATGTCACTCCCCCCTAAAATATGTTTCATCGGCGAGAGCGCTATTTCCGTCCATGTCTGTCGTCACGCCGCAATATCGGAACGGAAATCACTCTCTGCTGCCGTTCCATGAGGGACATTCATTTCACTCCCTGTGAACGGTCCCAGGGCCACCACCGTGTCTTTTCCGCATGGTTGATTTTTTCTGGCACCGAGGACTGCATATGCCCATTTTGTCAGGGTTTCAACGAGGCGAAATGAGTGCAGTCCAACGGTCACCTTGCTGTTGCGAGTCCGGCGTACGCGCCTACCTGCAATAGAACTTGCCCCAAGGCCAGACACGTCTCCGCTGTGATGTGCTGTATCTTGCATGTCAACAACGTTATGTATGTACTTCAATCTTGTTGGCTCTGGTTGCACGCCCATAAGATAAGCTCTTCGTTATTAGTTTGTGAACACAGCGACGAGACGCAAGTCGCTCAGTCTCCGCGTCGCCTCTCCAAGGGTGCTTTCGGGAGGGGATCCCCGATGCGTTAGGTACGAAGGGAGACGGCTGCTGCGGAGCCGGCTAGACGGTATTCAGACGGAAAGTGGCGGTGATGCCCTTCAAAGCCTGGCAGAATCGCACAGCCACAAGAGAGTCACCCGTGTGCGAAGCAGTGTGAGTTGAGAAGGCTGTACACGTGGATTCTTGCGCATCAGCAAAACGATGTGACACATCTTGTCTGATGCATTGCTTATGGATTCGAGGAACACACCGCAGCACCTTTGCAATCCATTGATTCTGTCTGCAAGCCGGATTTCGTGTATGTCGTTGATTCGGGTCGGATGTCATTATGTCATCTTTCGGAAGAGGGGCTCGTCGGGTCGTAATACATACAGCGTGTAGGTGACGCAATACTGCACACCCTAGGGACCAATTTCGAAGGTTCGATTACTCCACAACATCAGGAGTCATAGTATCAAGAAATGGCAGCGGTGGGACTCTTGTATCCTCGAGAGCTTTCCGAACAGAAAATCGATTGGCTCGCACGCTCAGTTGGTGTGATGTCTTACGTCACCTACAGTAGTCTACATGTATGGCCTTCGAGTTCCCCGGCTTACGTATGTCCTCGGTTTCGATGTCTGCCTCACTTTCTGTCTCTGGACGATGAGCACCTTCAATGCCTCCGTTGTTGGTGGTCACCTCAAGGACACTGAGTCGCGTGGTCGCATCGAAAGATCCCGCGCTCGCGTGAATTTACCTCTGTTGCACATGCGCAACAAAGGGTTACGTGCTCACTCAGCGTGATGAAGCACATATCCATTTGCTCAATCCTGTGGGGTCACCCGTTTCATCCAAGCGTGGAATCAGTCAGCAATACCGGTCGCCCCGGTGGTCTAGTGGGTACCCTCGCAGCCTGCTAAGGGTCAGGTCATGGGTTCGAGTCCCGACAGAGTGGGTTTTTTCACACTAAATATATATCCTGGTCTAGAATGAAGCGACGCGCTGCAAAGTTCGTTGTTAGTAAACCATAATCGACTTCGCAAGTCGCGAGGGAAGGGATTGCTGTACCCTTCTCGCGATAAAAATATCTCAGGCAGGAACGGAGGGGGTCCAACCCTCCCCTCCTGTGTGACCCCGGTTGGGTCGTCTCGCTAGTATAGAAGTGGACGATAGTGGCCAGTGGGGCAGACGACAGCGTCCAATGATGGGAGAAAGAAAAAGAACAGACTGTCTGTTGCGAGCACCGCTCAGGCTCAAAGACCAGAGATCGTCAGGTATTGCTCTTGAGTGTGTGCCATGATCCTCTAGGGGGATCCATAATGTAGTAGGGACACCAATGGTGTGTTTCTTCGGGTGGGCGGGAAAGTGGCGGGGCATGGAGTTCGAGACAACAATTTTCGGGACGAAACGAATAGTCTACCCAATGCCTTCAAATTTGTTATTCCGGAGGACATGACGTGCAGGGTGACGTGCTCACCGGAAAATATCAGAGAGATAAGTCCAGGATAGATAGAGGAACAGCAGCAAGTGCAAGAAAGCGCTCTACGATGTGGACGCTGTACGTCAGGGTCCATGAAATTCCACGATGATGGTTGGTTGTGGTCTGTTTCTTCACAACAACAACCGCACCCGCTCTTTGATCTCTCTACCATCCGCAATGGTCTTGATGAGCAGCAGAGTCCACCGCCCCACGACGCCAAGCAAAGTGAAACACAAGAAATGATCGGAGCTATCCAAAATCCAGACAACATTCACATTATCCCTGCCCCGCTGTGAAAACCAAAAAGTGCCATCAGAGGGGTGAAGGTGAAACCCCCGACCAATCACGCCGCCTTCCTCGTCGACGTGGGAATCTCCAGGAGAGCCTCTAGCGGACGACACATAACGAGGCGCCCAAAGCCGCAAGCCTGATCCCGGACACAAACGCCATCGTTTGCCGCACAATGAATCATGGAGTTAGGAAATCGGGGCAGCTGATGAATGCCCATTCCACGGACGGCTGAAAGATGTTCAGCGAATGCTGGCAGCAGGAGCAAGCCTGAATTCATCACGACACGACAGTATCCACCCCATCGCGGTCGCTGCTGCTCACGGCCACGTCCACATCATCATGTCCCTCGTCAGAAGTGGGGCAGATATAGAAGCTGAATGCACCTCTCGGGTCAAGAGTAATTGATGCTGCTGCAAGACGAATCCGAACTGGCCCTACTTGCACGGTTTCACGGCCTTGCACATCGCGGCAATCCTTGGCGAAGTGCGGGCGATGCTGGTCTTGCTCCAACTGGGGGCAAACCCAAACTCATCCGACAGCAAGGGTACTACTCCGATGATGATGGCGTGTCAGGGAGTACATTGTTGCAGGCCATCAACGCCAAAGGAGGTGGACATGTTGAACTCGCTGCTGAGGGCTGGCGCGGACGTGGAACTCGAAGATTGGACTGGCCTCCTTGCCATTCACTTTGCCGCATCTCACTGTGAGACCCAGGTTGTTGAACTACTTCATTCCAAGGCACAATTGACACTGAATCATGCCACTCACGATGGCTTTATACCACTTGCAGCGGCTGCGGAATGGTGTCACGAGAGCACGATGTCACTCCTTCTGTCTGCGGGGCAAGTGATTTGTCGGCCTGGGCGGAGAAGGGCATGAACTCTCTTAACGCGGCCGCCAAGCTCGGCAAGGGGGGCTCGGTGCGGTTCTTGCTCAAAAACGGATTGGAAGCCGTTGGTGGGAAACCAGCCATCGCTGACGTAATGCGTACGTCGGTGCAGTACGGGCTCATTGATATGCTGACGATTCTGTTGAACGTGGAAGGAAGCGAGAAACAAGAGGTTTGGGCGAACCAGATTGTGTACTGTTCACACGAGACGGTAGACGTGGGTCTGGCCCCCGCCCGCGATTTTCTTGGAACCCACGCAATCATGGCGATCGCCTTCGGCTGTCCACTGCTCCACACCCCTGCCAAGTATTGCGCCATCCCTGCCCTTCGTATTCTTCCCTCGGCTGGTGCACCCGCGGAAAAAGCTGATTCTCAGGGTATGGTCGCCGTAGACGTGATCGGAGTGTATGGTCACGAGAGGAACGGAAGCGTGGAGGCGACCGTTTGAGCATCATTGCTGCTGAAGGGACCAGCGTTCCGTGCTAGGTCGTGGGCATGGCCTGCTACGATGAACGCTGCTTTAGACTGCGCTTCGAGAAACGTGCACCCGTCGTCGTCGACACCAGTGCCGAAGACGCCCATGGGGTTTCCGACGTTCCAACAGTTGGACATAAAGCTGTTCAGCAGGAGCTTCGACTGGTGAGTGGTTGTTGGGCGTGGGCGTACATGTAGACTGTATGTCAACGGCAACGGGTTTTTGGCTTGACCATGAAATATAGACGTGAGCAGGCTTGACATTGAACCATTGTCCAGCTTCAGACAAAGGCGGATGCACTCGTCTCTGGATCAAACAAATGAACTGCCAACTCTTGCATAGTCTCTGTAGGTTCCCACACCTCCTTCGCCACACTCGAAATTGAATTGAACCAGGTATGTTCGCAAGGCCGACCTCCCGTTCATTGGATACTCGTGACACGACATGTTCCTCAGCGACACTGGAGTCTCACTGTACGTTTCGCCCACTTTTTCTTCGTTGTGATATTGTAGACCGGCATTCTGGAGGGCCTTGCGACAATAACGGGCGACTTGTGGTAGTGACAATAGACGGAGCATCGTGATTGTGTCCATTTATCAGATACTTCTCCATGACGTCATCAAACTGTGAGCCGACGTTTGTGTCGGCAAACCACGGGAGAAGGTACTGTAGGGTGCATATCTCATGAATATTTCCATAGAGTATGAAGAGTTGCAGTCCGCACAGCTCCTCATCCTGGTGCAGATACGTTCGGGACATTGCAGTTGGTGTGTATTGGCTCAGGTAGAGTTCCGTGCTGCTTGGTTCATGACGGCGTATGCATGCGCCTGGATCGCGTGACCGTCATCCTGCTTTTCTTAGTTGGAAAAGGTTCTTGTCAACCAATGAATAGAAGCCAAACCAGATGGCTACATAGACACACCGGTCGCCCCGGTGGTCTAGTGGGTAACCTCGCAGCCTACTAAGGGCCAGGTCAAGGGTTCGAGTCCCGGCAGAGAGAGTTTTTTCTCACCAAATAAATCCTGGTCTAGGATGAAAGCGACGCGCTGCAAAGCTCGTTTGTTAGTAAACCATAATCGACTTCGTAAGTCGCGAGGGAAGGGATTGCTGTACCCTTCTCGCGATCAAAAGACCTCAGGCATGAACCACAGGAGGGGGTCCAATCCCCCCCTCCTATGTGACCCCGGTTGGGTCGTCTAGCTAGTAGAAGTGGAGGATAGGGGCCAGAGGGGCAGACGACAGAGTCCAATGATGGGAAAAAAAAAAAAAAAAAAGGCTCTTGATTCCTGTCAGTGCGATGCTCCTGCGCCTGGGTGCTGCTACCACCGCGAATGTAGCCCACTTGTTCTCCGGCAATCTTCCCTGCACACAACGAAAAACTGAGCGTAGGTAAATCGGTGGCCGGTAGGACTTTCTGTTGGGTGGGGGGTGGTCGACTCGAGTATCGGTGGCCAATAAAATGTCGCTGGTGCAGTGAATTCCTGATGCAAGCACTGCATCTCACCGCCACTTCATGTAGGTTGCGATCGCCGCTCCAAAAGCGTCCAAATTGGCGGGTTACAGTGCGGGTGTTGACAGTACGTTAAGGCGATATCTAGAGTCCGCCCGGTTAAATTTTGCCACCATCTCCTGAAATCACCTTGGGAATTGTTTTGAGTGACTGACGTACCCCCTAGTGACATACTTTATATCGTAAGAAAGCTCTGTTTCCGGCGGATCGATTGGATGGAGCAGTTTTTTTTTTTTTTTTTTGNTCAGAGTTTAGTTTCTTGGGGAGTATTGAACCATACGATGTCCAAAAACTCAACGGATTCGGGCGAATTGGACCTGCACCTAGGGACG